AAGTTTCTTGTGAATCTACTTGGAACGTTAGTCCTATAGGCCCAGCGGCATGTGTGGCTCGAGTAGGCCCTGTCTTTGCCCTTTGATAGAATAGTGGCAATGGGAAAATGAGGCCCATTCAAGGCACCCAAGGAATAATGTAGTACGTTTATCAAAACTGCAGTTCAATGTCCCACTCAGACCTTGCGAATACTTGGCACAAGAGCAGATTCCGTGTGTTGCTTCATCTCTACAGTGTTCATGGGGCCCTCCTGCAAATCAGTGCACCAGAAAGCAGATACAACCCTGCTGTGGTTTTAGGGTGTATATATTCCAGTGAAGAAGGAATAAGAAGAGACAGGAATTCTCTGTCAAGCCTACAGATAAAGGGAAAACTTGTTTAGCTATTTATCAAAGGTTCCCTCCAATGGAGACACTTTGCCAGCCCAAGCCCAGTGCCCAGGCCTACCAGTGTCTGGGGATCAGAATGGTGGGGCGGGTGAGGTGGGGTGAAGAGCTTCTGGAAGCCCAGGAAAAGGATCGAGAGCACCCCACCCAGGGAAGGTGTCACAGGTGAGCAGTATGGACGAAAACACCAGGCCTGTGACTCTGTGCTCTCCTCATTATCTCTCTTGCTGTCTTTCCCCTTTGGGCCCTCTGTACCAGTACACAAATGTCTATGAGTCCCTGAACTTTATTGGTCTAGAGTAGGTGCTGACCTACGTGTAGATCAGTCTTTCTGGATTGGACTCAGGTCGCCACTTCCACCATCTCCTGGCCCAGCTGGAGCACATTAAAGCCAGAGGGTGAGAAAGACTGGGAGTGATACAGGTGAGCACGTAAGGAGAGGACAGGACAGGCCACACTTGGAGGAGGCCCCAGGGTCTAGTGTTAGACCAGCCTCAGCCCAATCATTTGGGATGACTGTGTCTGGTAAGGCTACCTGGAGGTGGAGTTGTTTATAGCAGGCTCTCCAGAAAGCAGGCAAACCTCCAGTGCCAGCTCTGTAACCTGCTCTCGGGGTAGAACCAGCTCTCTTCAGCAGTTCCAGTCAGCACCACAGCTACAGTGACAGAGCTGGAGTCACTATCCTTTCCACCAGCTCCCTAGAGAGATCCTGATCCAGATCCAGATTCATGATTGACAGCTAGGCTGCCACCGCACATTGAAGCCAACATGTTTCAAGACAGAACCACACGCAGCMTCAGGACTGGCACTAGCTATGGAGCTAGAGGCAGCCTCAGTGAAAATTCTGGCTTCAGTGCCAGAAATAGACACCTCCAGAAATTCATTAACGGACTGTTAACCAGAAAGATTAGGGGTCTCTCCTGGGCCATATAGTGTTGGAAAGGGCTCAGAGGAACTCACTAGAGTGATGGCAGTGCTTTAGCTAGTGATATGTATTTGCCAAAATTGAAGGACTGGCTCATTAGCATCTGAGTATATTGTTGCATGTGTGTGTGTGTGTGTGTGTGTGTGTGTGTGTGTGTGTGTTTAAAATATAACAATTCAGAATAGCCAAGTTATTGAGGTGACCAAGGTGTCTGTCAGTAGAAGAATGGATTTCATTTCATATTAACTCATTGGTGAACTTGTCTCCCAGTATAACCACTGTCTGTTTGTGTCAAACCTTCAACATATAAATTCAAGCACAGAACTTCAATTCATAAATATGCATATATATATTTTTTGTTCTGTGCTTTGTTATATTGTTGCAGTCTTGTTTTTTGAGCTGCTATGAACATTGGTATGGCTGCGTTACTGTAGTATGATGATTTTAAGTCCTTGGGTATAGACCGAGGATTGGAAAAGCTGGATCAAATGGTGGTTCCATTCCCAGTTTTCTAAAGAGTCTCCATACTGATTTCCAGAGTGGAATGTTTGAACCAATTTGCAGCCCCACCATGAGTGTGCCTTTCCCCCCACACCCACACCAACACTTATTAACTGCCATTCTGACTGGAGTGAGATGGAATCTCAATGTAGTTTTAATTTACATTTCTCTGATTGCTAGAGATGTTGAACATTTTTTTCATATATTTTGACCATTTGTATTTCTTCTGTGAAGTGCTTGTTCAGTTTCTTTGCCCATTTATTGATTGGGTTATTATTTTTTTGGTGTTAAGTTTTTTGAGTTATTTGTATATCTTGAAAATAAATGCCTTATCTAAGGCACTAGTGGTGAAGGATTTTCATCTAAACTGTAGGATCTCTGTATGCTGAATATAGCAATTTCCATCTCCAGTTGGACATGTGCAAGACACCTTTGGGGTATTACGTCTAACATCGAACTTGTGGTATACAATTATGTGCATTATTAACAATAATAATGGCATATTTTTTGAAGTGATTAAGATTTCTAGCTATACAAACCCTTGTCAGCAAAGAACACCCTCAAACTTAATTTTTCCAATACCTTTGATTTTATATTGAACCTTATTAAAGTTTTAATTTGTCTTCCTTTGATTATTTTTGAAGTTGACCACTTTTGGGTGGAGATACTGGGGATCTAATCCAGGGACATTCAACCACTGAGCCAGCCTTTTCTATTTTTTTATTTTGAGACAGGGTTCACTAAGCTGCTGAGGGTCTCACTAAATTGCTGAGGCTGACCTTGAACTTGCAATCCTCCTGTCTCAACCTCCCAAGTCACTGAGTCACTGGGATTATAGGCATGTTCCACCATGCCTAGTGATCACTTGTTAATGTGGTTTTTAGCTCATTTGGATCTTTTCTATGAAGTCTGTTAATGTTGTCTTTTTTCAATTTTTCATATCTTCACATTTGGGTATATATTACTATTACTATGTTAGCTGTTCTAAGGGTCAAGATTTGAATAGGATTGAGAAAGATGAGAGAAACTTGATGTGGAAGAGGATATAGATGAAGGTCCTCTCTGGTACCTCAGGAAATAGTGATATCATTTGTCAAATCAAAGAGATCTTTTTGTCATACTGTTTAACCAGTTAAGAAATCTCTCTCTCTCTCTCTCTCTCTCTCTCTCTCTCTCTCTCTCTCTCTGTGTGTGTGTGTGTGTGTGTGTGTGTGTGTGTGTGTGGCTGATTGTACCAAGCATACTGCACAGACTGGGCAAGTGTTCTAACACTGAGCCACATCTCCAGCCCATAAACTTTTTTTTTTTAACTCCCTGCAGGCAGGAAAGAGGAAGTTGCTAAAGAGGTCTCCTGATTTGAAAAGCAAGTATCATCAACYTTTGAATTCTAGGAAATCCAGCAGGACAATTGGAGCAAGGTCAACAGGGAAACACCGAGGAGTGGAATAGATGACTCCATTAGTCTTCTGAGGAATCTCCATACTGCTTTTCAAAGTGCTTGCCCAAATTTGCAGTCCCACCAACAATGCATGATTGTACCCYTTTCTCCACATTCTTGCCAGCATTTATTATTATTTGTATTCTTGATGATTGACATTCTAACCAGAGGGAGATGAATTGAGGAAATGGGGCTGGAAATGTATGGAATGGATTTAGGTCAGTTTTGTAAGGTGTTGGGTGGACGTCATACATTGAACATTTTTTTAATGGTATTGTGAGAAACTTATATCAATAGAATACTAACTCTATTGCTTTTGGGCAGCTGAATGAGATTTATAGACACTATTCTGTTCCCACATCCCATGAAGATGATGACATATAACTACCCTAATTCTTTATTTTCAGAAGGTGAGAGTTTCTAGTATTCTTGACATAGAATGGGGTTAGAAGCAAGAAACTTTGGGTATCACATTCAACCTCCAGTTTGGTATATTATAGACTCTGCATCACATTTTCCCCAAGGTCAGCTGAGCAGGTGAAAAGTTTTGTTAGCTACCAAGTTCCTAACAGCTGCCTGATGGTTGTTATCACCATTCCTCTAAGGATGAACTCTCTTATGGCTGCCTGAACTAGTAGTTCGTCCCCCTAGGGACAAAAGGCAATGAAGCAATTATATCTGTTTTTTCTTTAATTTTGAGCAAGGGATGGCAGGATGCCCCCTGGGTCCTCTCCTTGGTTTGTAGAATTGAACTCATACCAATTTCCCAGGAGCCGTGAGCAAATGTTTATCAGTATATCAATCTTGTTTCATTCCGAACTGATAAGTACTCTGCTTGTCACAGAAGAAATTTGAACCCCTTAGAAACTCCACCTGTTTCACTGTGTTTCATGTCTCCTACAGAGAAATGGAAGAACAGCCCAAGGCTTGCAGCTGAAGGTATTATTTGATAAGTTCAGACAGGAACAAAGAACTTCTTCTTTGGCAGATCCAGGAAGTGAATAGAAAAGTCAAGTATTTCCTGATGTTTTAAGGTCTTGAAAAAGAAGGATTTAGTTTGATTGAAGGAAACACTCAAGAATAAAATCTGAAAGAAAAAAACCTTTGCCCCACATTCCATGAAAACTCCTTTAGGAAGAGTAGTGGAAAATTGAAAATGGGAAGTGGGGAAGAATATTATTAAAGGAAGAACTGATGAACTTATATAAGGTATATGACCTGATTTTTTATTATTCAGTAGAGTTATGGACTAAGGCCCTTGCTTCAACCTGCTCTCAAGTCTCCAGATCCTGATATCTTGAAGCTATTGACTTGGTTCTGTCATCTTGATACAATCTGTGGAAATAAGGCATTAGCAAAAGCGTTTTGCAGAGCCAACAMGTTTAAGAGAGACCAACAGAGTATTAGAAGTCATCTACCAAATGTTGATTAACTAGTTCCTGACATGCTCTTTTAGTAATTCCTTAAACTCAAATTTTTCATAGTGGGTTCTCAGACTCTTCAGGTTTGATCCTGGTCTGTTCTGATGATCATTCCAATGTTTCATGTTTTCTACAAAAATGTTGAGTTGGTAATAAGGGGACAAATAGTGACTTTTGTTCCTAACCCCTAGAGTGGAAAAAAAGCTCAAGATAGGTTAAGATGCACACACTGAGTAGTTCAAAACCATGTTTTTGTTTCATAATAGTCACAATGAYTTCTTATTCTTTCACATTTCTATGTCTTTAATAAGCAAAAGAGAGGAAGAGCATGAGGAGGGATAATCAGAGCAGTGTGTCCGAGTTCCTCCTCCTGGGGCTCCCCATCCAGCCAGAGCAGCAAGGCATGTACTACGCCCTGTTCCTTGGCATGTACCTGACCACGGTGCTGGGGAACCTGCTCATCATCCTGCTCATCAGGCTGGACTCTCGCCTCCACACCCCCATGTACTTCTTCCTCAGCCACTTGGCCCTCACTGACATCTCTTTCTCCTCAGTCACAGCTCCAAAGATGCTCATGAACATGCTGACGCACACTCAATCCATCTCCTATGTTGGGTGCATTTCCCAGGTATATTTTTTCTTATTTTTTGCAGATCTCGACAGCTTCCTTCTGACCTCAATGGCCTATGACAGATATGTGGCCATCTGTCACCCTCTCCACTACACCACCATCATGAGTCAGAACCTCTGTTTCCTCCTAGTAATTGGGTCCTGGGTCTTGTCCTTTGCTGGTGCCCTTGTTCACACCCTCCTCCTAGCCCGTCTGTCCTTCTGTGGAGACAACACCATTCACCACTTCTTCTGTGACCTCTCTGCCTTAGTGAAGCTCTCCAGCTCAGACACCACCATTAATGAGCTAGTTATCTTTATTGTAGGGTCAATGGTCATCACTCTGCCATTCATATGTGTTCTGGTCTCTTATGGCCACATTGGGGCCACCATCCTGAGAAGACCCTCCATCAAGGGCATCTGCAAAGCCTTCTCCACATGTGGCTCCCACCTCTCTGTGGTTTCTCTGTACTATGGAGCCATTATTGGACTTTACTTTGTCCCCTCATCCAATAGCAATAAAGACAAAGATGTCATTGTGTCTGTGCTGTACACTCTGGTCACCCCCATGCTGAATCCCTTCATCTACAGTCTGAGGAATCGGGATATGAAAGGAGCTCTGAGGAACATCCTCAGGAGAGGAACATTTTMAGCATGATGGGCTTTGTCTTCCTTCTTAACTGGGTCTGAAAACTTCTCAATCCCACAGATGCATCCTTTCCTCTGTGAATTGCTATCTGTCACTCAGTCTCAATGTGGCACTCTCTTCACAGTCTGTGTTTCAATATACATGCAATTTTTCTAATTGTCATCTGAATTTGAGACTCTTGGGAAAGGTTTTTATAAACCTACCTGCACATTTTTTCTTTTCATATAGTATTCTTGTCCTAAAACAGTTTAAATTTTATTGTAGTCAGAAATTTTCAACTTTTTAAAAATTGGATTATTTACAGAATTTCATAAGGAAGATTTTTTTCATTTCTCAAGATTTCAAGGGTACTTCTTATGATTCACTCATGATTTCATTTTTGCATTCAATTTTCAAATACTCATGAATTTATTTTTGTGAGAAAACTTGATTAGAAATAGAGTGATATTTTTGTTTTAGTGTCTTTACTTTAATCCTTTTAAATTTATTTTTTAATTGGCACATGAGTTTGGTACTTATGTGATTTACTGGTTACTATGTGATGTTTTCACACATGTATACAATGTACAATGAATTCCTTCTCTACCATTTTTGAAATATGTAGTATTTTACCATTCTCTATAGCCACCTACTGTGCAACAGAACACCAGTATTTTTTTCTCCTAAGTATAATATAGTTTCTACTGACTAATCTTTCAAATCCTTCTCCCTCCTTCTCTTCCCACCTATTTGTAACTCCTTATCCATTTTTCTAGACTTTTTAGTTGTGTCAGAGTAAGGACAATTAGGCACATGGCACTTTTTTCCTAAAGTGAGCAAGTCTGCTGATAAACTGAAATGAGACAACTTTCTGCAAAAGGCCAACACAATGGTCCAGATAGAACGGGCACAGGACCCGAGCAGTGAGCAGGAACTTGATTGGCATCTTCTCTACCCCAGCAAGGTAAGTGGGTGTGAGGCCCAGCAGTGAGGGTAGAGATGTTTTAAAGGGGATTCCAGGTGGTGGTGTGCCAAGTGGGTGATCAGTCCCTTGTGATATGGGGGAATTCAGCCTCTCCAGATGTGGCCAAGCAGGACATTAGGAATAGGCCACCTGAAATGAGTTCAACTGGGACTTCAGCACAGTTTAATCCAACTATATTTCGTCATAAAACTACCCAACTACATGAATGTAGTAACCTGTGTTTTCATCTGAAATAGTGAAATTTTATCTTGAGTCATTGAGAAASTGCCTCTGCTCAAGGCAAAGGTAATTAATTTTATTTTATAAGCTGACTATGGTAAAATATATTTCTGTGTTTATTATTTATTTTAATTCTAGTATTGGATAAAGGAAGAAATTCATATTTAAGAGAGATCTAGTAGCTAACCATGTGCCACTAGGCTAGCATTATCTGACACCAGTGAAACTCAAATTACTGTGTGCAAGGTCAGATCCTAGGGGCCTATAAGCTACTTGTATGTTTTTCTAACCTAAACAATATTTTTATCCATTTTACTAGAAATTTGTTTAAATATTTACAAATAAATTGAAATAACATACAAACAAAATCTGTATGTATCTAAAATACATACAGATTAAATGCATATATGCATATATATGGTGTCATATTGTGCTTATATTTGTGTGTGTTCATAAATGTGATATTATTTAAATAATAATAATAAATAATAAATTTATTTTAAATTTACATAATTTTAAATAATAAAATTATTTTTGGTACTGGGGTTTGAACCCAGGGGTGCTTACCACTGAACCACATCCCCTGCTTTTTTTTTTTGACAGGGGCTTGTGAAATTCTTGASACTGGCTTTGAACTTGGGATCCTTCTGTTTCAGCATCCTGAGTTGCTGGGATTATAGGCATGCACCACCACCCCCAGCTTAGAGAATACTGTAAAAAGAAACCTTCATTAAACAATCTCTAGGCTTAAAGGATGGAAAACTTACAAAACTGTTGAGTCACCTTTGGTCCCTCCTCAAGTGTCYCTTCTTTACTCCTGAAGGAACCCAGTATCTTTACCATTTTCAATATTCTACCACTTTTCATTAGAATTGTTAGAATTCTGTATTGATTCTTCAATTTTGCTTGTTTCAGAACTGCATATAAATGAAGCAATACTGCATTTATTCAGTTTTGTGCTTTTGTGATTACTATTGTCCTTGTGAAAATCATATATTTATTTTTATTTCAATATAAGACTATAACCCACTTATCCTCTCAATTTTCAGTGGCTATCTTTTATTTTTAATTTTTCTCACAAGCAATAGTGCTACAAACATTATGGCACATGCATCTAACATGTATATGCAAAGTATTCTGTAAATGGTATACCCCAAAGGATTACTGGGTTGAAGGGCAAGTATGTATCCAATTTAATTATCACTACTAAACTCTTATACAAAATAATWATACAAAACTCCTTGCATTTTTATAAACAGTAGGATCACTCCAGGGTAATCCTCTCCAGCACAATTTCATATCAATACTAATTCAAAACACACAAATATACACATACATGCACACCTTTGACTAACAGTTTATATATGCAATAGGATTATTGGTAGTCAGGGGAAATTTGTCACTTTAACAAGTAGAAGTCAATTAAATACTTTTAGAGAAAGGCATGCACCTGATTAAATCATGCCAAGTGATGAGAAACTGAGCCATGTCATCAGGAGTTAGAATAATAGAATGTCACTAGCACATGTTTGTTAATAATTCAACAAGACCCAGTTATTATAGGAAATGTATATTTCCATCCTTGGTAGAATTTTATACTGGCATTGACTAATAGACCATATGCCTTATACTATGATTTAACCTATACATGAATTTCAAAAATTAAAGAATTGCCTTGTCTTATGTACCTAATGGCAAGATGCTTTGTTTTAAGTAAAATTTCAAAATTTTGCCTTTAGTCATTGAAATATTTAATGTTCATCATTTAATGCTATTTGAGGTTGAAATTTCATTTCAATGTTTTCTCCAAAAATGATGAAATATTTAAAATTATTTAGATTATCATTTGTCTACTTCTGTGCAATACTAAATGTATCACTTTTTATTTTTTGTAGAAGTATAAGTTGTTTCTTATAGRTATACATCTATATGATCCAGAAAACTTACCTCCATTTTTAAGTATTCATTACTACCCTATTTGCTTTTGAAATTGTGGATTTATGRTAAGTCATAATATGCAGGATGATTTAAAACTAAACAATGTATTCACTATAACTCAACCTTTCTACTCCTGGGCATAAAACCATCAAAACTGAGTTTTTAAATATGTCTACTCTCACCATTCCTATTCATTMTAGTTCTTGAAACTCTAGCTASAGCAATCAGACAAGAGAAAGGAATCAAAGGGATATAAATTGGAAAAAAAATCAAACTAACTCTGTTTGCTAACAGAATCATAGCTAGAAGAYCCCAAAACTCTACTAGATGACTTCTAGAGCTGGTAAGTAAAATATCAGAGTATAAGATCAATATTCATAAATCAATAGCTGTACTATACCCTAATGATGGAAAGACATCCCATATTCTTAGAATGGTAGAATTAATATCACCAAAGGGTCTCCCCATCCAGCCAGAGCAGCAAGGCATGTACTAC